CTAAGTCCAAGCCTGAGTTGAAGTTCTGTTTCCTCATCTGAGAATCATCAGAAAAATGGGGACTGAACCCTCATTGCAGGCAGGAATCTGTGTGTGTGTGTGTGTGTGTGTGTGTGTGTGTGTGCATGTGTGTGTGTGCATTTGCATGCATAATGCTGTCTTCTGTGCATATGTGCATATAAGAAAGATGTTCTCCATCACTCACTGTGCAGAAAGGGTGAGAGTCCAGCTGCAGGGGCAAGGATGTCTTGTGCCTATGGACCCCAGGGAGAGGCCAGCAGCTTAGGAAAGGGGTCTCACCTTCATCTCCGCAGGGATCCAGCCATTTCAATCCAGCTCCTGTGACCTCTCTCTGCTTCCTTTCACTGTCCTGGCCTGAGATGTCACAGGGCTGCAGGGACATAGCACTGTTTACCTCTGTCATGAGCTCCCTGTGCTGAGTGCATGAGCCTGTACACACTGGGTCCTCAATAACCACTTTACAGATTAGGAAACTGAGGCTCAAGGACACAGGTAGGTTTGGTGATGTCATCCAGCTATCGAGTGGCTAAGTCCCAAGTCACACATGGATCTGCAGGCTCCACAGTCAAGACACAGTACGAAATGTGTTCCTCGCTCCAACACCCCCATCCCAGCTGCTGCTAATCCTTCTGAGGGTGTGGTCACACACCTCTAGGGAGAGAGGATGGCCAACCTCTAGGACAGCTTGGCTTAGCTTTTTTCCTGCATTAGAGCCAAAATTGGTCCCTTGGAAGTAGATGTGGCTGTTTTTGTGACAGGACAGACAAGGGAGGAGAAAGGGCTGCAGCCCCAGTCAGCAGGTCCACAGAGAGTACACACCTAGATGTCATTCTCTCCTACCTGTCCAGATGTGACCAGACTCTTTGTGCTGTTGGATCCCAGTGTAATCCCTACCCACTCATTCCAGCAGGCCCTGTGGACCTGACAATGAATGTCTGACCCACTTGCCCTCCCAGCCAACAATGTCCTCTCTACTCTCCAAACTTCTAAGTTAGCAGTTCTCAGCCTATGGGTCAAGACCCCTTAGGGGGTCACATATCAGATATCCTATATATGAGATATTACGTTATGATTCATAACAGTATCAAAATTGCAGCCATGAAGTAGCAATGAAAATAATTTCATGGTTTTGGGGGTCACCACACCACGAGGAATTGTTCTAGAGGGTCACAACATGAGGAAGGTTGAGGACCGTTGCACTAGGCTATCTGCACAGCCTCCCTTGTCTGTAAATTCCCTGTGAACATGGCCGCTAAAAGAGGTCTTCCTCAGCCTTGATGCAAGGAGAGGAGCTCGGTCCTACCTCAACTTTGTTAAGCCCATGGGAGGCTTCTGAATAGAGATTGAGGAAGAGTGGATGGGGAGAAGGGTAGATGGGAGTCAGGGGGAGGGAACAGAGGAGAGGAGGGAAGGGAAACTGTGATTGGTATGTAAAAGAAATGAAAAAAAGTTAATTAAATAAAATTTATAAAAAGAAAATTCTGAAAAAAGAAAATTCTGCCTCAAAATATACACATATATACGTACATACACATATTCATACATGCATACATGCATGCAAACTCTGAAGGAAAGAAAGGGGAAAGGAAGTTACATTCAAGCTGACTGACTTTCTTTTCAGCCTTGCCAGAAGTCTCTAAGAGAGTTGCCCTTCTCCATACTGCCTGCCAAACTGGTTCCACCAGAGACTCAAGAACAGAGAGGAAACAGAGTACTGTCTGAATTCTACAAGTGGAGAAACTGAGGCTGAGAGGCATCCAGATGGCCTGCCCAGGGACATTCCTCTATCAGAGGCCTGACCCAAGGCTTACCGGAGACCCAAGAGCTAATTCTTCAGAAACGCCCTCCACATACTCTTCAGAGTCCTGTCTGTCCCTGCCTAACCCTCTAGATGTCAACCAATTTCCAGGCTTGTGTTTTTGTTCATCTTCTTCTGCTTTCACATACTAGAGACAGAGTTTGTGTTGGATGACTTTGAGAACAAAAGTTCAAGAGCTACTACCCCTGCCTCAAGGCCAGGTGTGGTGGGGCACACCTGTGATCCAGGTGTTTAAAGAGTAGAGGTAGGATCAGTTCAGCATCATTCTCAGCTCTGCAGTGAGTTCAAGGACAGCCTGGGCTATATGAGATTCTGTCACAAAAATAAATAAATAATAAAAGCCTCTGTGAGGGTAATATTCCATTCCATCTACCATAGACAAACCAAGGAGAGGTTTGTCTACCTGAGAGGACCTTGGGGTTGTGGAAGGGCATGAGAACATGTGAGGGGGTACAGATGTGGATGGAACTGTGGGAAGGTCTCCACTGATACTGAGAGAAGGAAAGTCAGAGGACAGGAGGAGAAAACAGAGCTCTTGTTCAGCTTTGGCCTATGGGGTACAATGGCTGACTTCCACCTACCCCATAGAAAAGGGCTTTGCTCTCAGATTCCTTCTGGTCTTCATTGGCTCCTGGGGTCTGGGATGAAGTACTAGGTCATCTGTAGGGTGGGTGCAGGTGGCTGACAGAGCTTAGGGCTCTCAACATTGGCTTCCATCCTCAGGTGGTATATAATAGCCCGACTTAAGATGGAAACAGAAAGCCCTTTTGTTTGGAAACACAATGAATAATGGACACCCCGTTGTGTGGCATGAGCAACGGTCAGGTGTGACACTGCTTTTCCAAAAGACTGGAGCTTTGTGGTGGCAAGGTTACTTTTCCTCCTGGCTCTGTTTGTCCTGGCTCTTGCCTCAGAGATGGAAGTAGCTCTCACTGGGCCCTCCAAGGACAACACCAGCCCTTCCTAGGCCCTTCCAGCCTTCAAGCAGCTCCAGCCTGGTACACACACAAAGGGGCTTTGTAGGTGCCCCATGATGGAGAGGAGACTGTGTGTGAGTTCCCATTCCAGCACTCTCTGTCCCCTGAAGGACATGATGGAGAGGAGACTGTGTGTGAGTTCCCATTCCAGCACTCTCTGTCCCCTGAAGGACATGATGGAGAGGAGACTGTGTGTGAGTTCCCATTCCAGCACTCTCTGTCCCCTGAAGGACATGATGGAGAGGAGACTGTGTGTGAGTTCCCATTCCAGCACTCTCTGTCCCCTGAAGGACATGATGGAGAGGAGACTGTGTGTGAGTTCCCATTCCAGCACTCTCTGTCCCCTGAAGGACATGATGGAGAGGAGACTGTGTGTGAGTTCCCATTCCAGCACTCTCTGTCCCCTGAAGGACATGATGGAGAGGAGACTGTGTGTGAGTTCCCATTCCAGCACTCTCTGTCCCCTGAAGGACATGATGGAGAGGAGACTGTGTGTGAGTTCCCATTCCAGCACTCTCTGTCCCCTGAAGGACATGATGTGGCAGGAAACCACTATTAACTTCAATGATGGAAAAAATGCTAAATTTTATTTTATTTTTATCATTTGTGTGTGTGTGCAAGCATCAGTATGCACAAGTGCACATGAATGTAGATGCCCACAGAGGCCAGGGGTGTTGAATCCCCTTGGACTTGGAGCTGCCTGATGTGGGTGCTGGGATACTAACTCAGGTCCTCTGAAAGTGCTCCTAACCATAGAGCCATCTCTCCAGGCCCTAGAAAAGAACGTGTGAGGTGTTTGAGCAGCCCACTTTTATGGGTAGTGCCAAACTCCTCCCATTTTAATCATGGGTCAGCCAAGTATAGTCAAGTCTTCTAAACTCCAAGAGATGGGAACCTACTTGACATTTATGTTCGAAACCAGCCTGATCTACAGAGCCACTTCCAGGACAGCCTCCAAAACAATACAGAGAAACCCTGCCTCGAAAAAAAAAAAAAACAAAAAACAAAAGAGTTAAATGTCACTAAGCCATCTGATGCTACTGTAGTGAGTCTTTCTCTGTCATGCAAGCCAGCTCCTAAATCACGACATGGAGACTTGTCATTAATTATGTAAGCTTTGCCAATAGCTTAGGCTTAACTTTAGCTATCTCTTATAGCTTAAGTTAACTCATTTCTATTAATCTATGTGCTGCCCCAAGGCTTGTTTACTTTATGTACTGTCCATTCTGCTTTCCTGCCTCCCCCGTGTCTCCGCCAGTCTCTGCCCTTCTTCTTCCCAGCATCCTCTGTGCCTGGAAATCTCGCCTAGCTGTTGGCCATTCATCTTTTTATTAAACCAGTCATAGTGACATGTCTTTACAAACACACTATCTTTGCTGTTGCTGCCATAGGCCATGGCTCTTCAGTGCCTCTCCTCAATCCTGTAGGCTCTCTTGTTCCTGCTCCAACTAGAAAGACTCTATGGTTGTCACTCCCCTAGGGCACCTGGCCAGGCCCTGGTTACTTCTCAGCTGTGCCTCCTAGTGCTCTCTGGGTTATCCACACTAGGAGTAAACCACTTTTATTCTCAGTCCCAAGCCCGAAAGATTCAGGAGACTCCGTTTAAACAGTAAACCTGAGTTGTCCCTAATCAGAACCCAGAACGTCAATAATGAGGGGCAGGGTGAGGGATGGAGGATGTGCCTTCAATGCCATCTCACCCTCTGGAGAAACCATTGATTGTAAAACCACACAAATGTGTGTTTTCAGGAGACCATTTCACTCGGATCACTTTTTGTAGGTGGAGTTTTCCTGTCCTGATTGCCTGCTCCCAAATAACCAGCAACCACTTCCCAAATAACTGACTCAGAGACTTAATATAAGTTATAAATGCTCAGTCAATAGCTCAGGCTTGTTACTAACTAGCTCTTACATTTAAATTAACCCATTTTTCTTATCTATGTTTTATCAGGTGGTTCATGGCTTGAAAAACCAACCAACCAAACAAACAAACACAAGAATAGAAACAAATTTTGGGCCATCCAGATGGCTCAGGAACTAAAGTGTTTGCTGCCAACCTGGACAACATGAATTCAACCCCTGGCACCCATATGGTGGAAGAAAAGAACCAATTTCTGCAAGTTACACACACACACACACACACACACACACACACACACTAAGCAAATAAATAAATGCAATTATAAATTTTTAGAATTTTAAATTTATGAGTATGTCTGTGCATACACATGTCTTCATGGATGTACACATGTGAGCAGGTACCAAGAAGGTGTCAGGTTCTCCTGGAACTGGGGTGACTCGTAGTTGTGAACCTCCCATCATGGGTGCTAGCGATGTTCTTAAGTGTTTAGCCATCTCTCCAGCCTCCGATCTTAAAATTTAAACCAAATAAATAAAAATAACTCTCCATGGCATTGACATCGAAAATATTCCATTCAACAGTAAAGCAGACCTGGACTGGGTTTCTGAACTGATCTGTAGGCCATAGTATCCTGGAAGACTGTAGCCCCATTTTTTTGGCAGGCTTTTTAAGGTTGGCCTTGACTTTGAACTTCTAACCTTCTGCCTCCACCTCCCAAACACTGGAATTACAGATGTGCACCACAATGCTGGTTTCAAACAGTGTGTGAGGGTGTGGGTGGGGGGGAATCATGTGTATAATGTGTTTATCAACAAGGTGTTGTTATCAAGCTACCTAGATCCAGATCTCAGCCCCACCCACGAGCTGCCTGTTTAAGTTTAAAAGGTGCTTTTGAATTTTGTGCTTCAGTTTCCTTATTGCAGAGTGAGGGCAATACAAAGGGCACCTAACTCACAGCATTTAGGTGAAGATTAAAATAAGTACCACAAGTAATCAAGTGTGGTGGCAAAGGCCTGTGATGTTTGGAGGGTGAGGGCTGGAGCATCTCCAGGAGTTGAAGGTCATCCTTAGCTGCAAATGAACTGAAGACAAGCCTGAGCAACATGGGGCCTTATCTAAACAAAGAGATAAATAAATACATAAAATGCTTACTTTGTGCCCAATACAGCAGCCAGCAAATAGAGGTTACTATTTTTTAATGATTTATGTATTTTTTATGTGTACAGCATTTTGCCTGCATATATGTCTGTGTCACATTGCATGCACAATACCCATGGAGGCCGGAAGAGGATGTTGGATCCTCTTGAACTGGAGTCCCTGCAACTGTAGGTGCTGGGAATCAAACCTGGGCCCTCTGGAAGAGTAGCCAGTGCTCTTAACTGTTGAGCCATCTCTCCAACCCCAGATGTTTGTTTGTTTGTTGACAGTCTTTTTATGTAGTCCTCTCTGGCCTGAAACTCACAAAGGTCCTCCTCTACCTCCTGAGTGCTGGAATTAAAGGCAATCCGTTATGCCTGACTTATTTTTATTACTATTATTAGGTTGTTGTTATTATCATTTATGAATACATGTTATTTTCCAGATAGATACTATTTCAAAATATTACACCATCATTTTAAGTCATCATAACATTTCTAGCTTGTCTAAAGTGAACTTAGTGTCCTGCCCAGTACTTAATTGTATTTAATACAATTTCAAAACCATTCCTTTCTGACTCTAAAACTTGTTTTCTTAGAGCTGATCTAACTATACCTGAATCCACCTGTCAAGTGATACTTAATATGTCTCGTGTGTCCACACAAAGCTTGGATACTATCCAAAATAATTTACCACCATCCCAGCACATGACTGCTGTCAGGGTAGACAACACCCTTTCCCCAAGCTGGGAGGGGTGAGAAAGGTGACTTTTTAGTGCCTAGAAGCACAATATCCCAAAGCCTATGGCCTCACCTCTCTGATAAACACAGCAAAATTCTCGTTTTTCTGCCAATCTAAATTAAGTTTTTGTGCTGAAGAGACATCACAGTGAATAAAGGCACCTGCTGCCAAGCCTGACAACCTGAGTTTAGTCCCTAGAACCTACTTGGTAAAGAACCAGTTCCTGCAATATCTTCTGACCTCCACAAGCATGCTGTGGTACACACACACACACACACACACACACACACACACACACACACACGTGCCCACACACTAATTAATTTTTCAAGCCCTTCTATTTTCTCATCAAATGTCCCTTCTGGGAGAGAATCTGAATTGGGTTGGCCTGCTGGAGACCTTGTCACTTACAGCTAGATGGTAATGTAGTCACAAATGAAAGATCTAAAGCTTTTTTCTTTCTTTCTTTCTTCTTTTTTTTTTAAACTGTTTTGTTTCTGCTGTGGGGTGATGGAAAGAGGGTTACAGAGTCTGAAGGTGACATGGGCTTCTCTGAGCTGGGCAGAAGTGAGAACTATTTAGCAAAGAGGCAAGATTTCACTCATTCAGACTGAATATGGTCACAGCGGTGGGTCCCAGTTCTGAATACATTTTAAGTTCATCTAGAGCAGTGTAGATTTGATTGTGGTTAATACAATACAAAGGCTGGTTTCATAATAGCTTATTGACATTGCATGCTTCCTCAAACAATGGATAATGTGGTGTTTCAAGTTGAAAAGTGTTCTCTTGTACTTGAAGAATTGCTGTAGGCAAGATCCACTGACCAATACTCAAAAAGAGAATGAAATGTTACACAGAAACAGAATATAGCCTCAAAGTATCTTCTTGGAGCCCCTAATTGCAGCAGTGGAGTTAATAGCCGTCCCCACTTTGATGTCCCTCTCCTGGGAAACAGAACCCAATTCTCTTACCCTGGAATGAAGATTGGACTCAGAGGCTCAGTTCTAAAGAAAGGAAAAGGATAGTGACTTTACAGTAAAGAAACTGGCAACTGACATGACCTTGGAACCACATGACTAAGGTTAACAACCCGGCCACAAGGGATACTGCTATCACGTATCAACAACATGACTCAAGGAGAGGGATACGTCATCCTGTGACCTTCTTTCTTCAAACCAATAACCGCAGTCTGATTTAGAGAAACATTAGATAAGGCCTTGCGGGACATTCTACAAAAATACCTAAACAGTGCTCTTCACAGGGCCAAGGTTACTGAGGCTGGTGGTTTGTAATTTATAATCCCAGCACTGGGGAAGCTAAACCAGACAGATAGCCATGAGTTCAAAGTTAAATTGATCTGCAGAGTGAGGCCTTTTCTAAAAAAAAAAAAAAAAGAAAAAAGAAAAAAAAAAGAAAGAAAGAAATGCCAGGATCATAAAAAAACAAGACTGAGAAATTATCATAGATAGGACAAAGCCCAAGGTCTCACACATCGCGTCTTCTTGGTTTTTGAAATATAAGCACATTATTATCTACAATAGCCCTACTGCAGTTGAACACCAGCACACAATGCTCTTATCTAACTACAATTTAGTGCCCTATCACATGTCTCCCTGACTTCCTACCCCTTGGTTTTACTTTTTTTTTTTCATTCACAAGAAAGAAAGGAAGGAAGGAAAGAAGAAAGAGAGAAAGGAAGGAGGAAGGGAGGGAGGCAAGGAGAGAGGGAGGGAGGGAAGGAGGGAGGGAAGGAGAGAGGGAGGGAGGGAGGGAGGGAGGGGGAGACATGGAGGTAGCTCAGTAGCTAAGGGTGCTTGCTGTTCTTCCACAAGACCTGAGTTCTGTTCCCAACACCCATGCCTCCTGGCTCACAGTAACTACAGCTCTAGAAGGGAATCCAGCACCCTCCTACGGCCGCAGGCATCAACACACATTTGGTGACATACTCACATATATAGACAAAAATACACATAAGTAAATAAAATTTACAAATAATACTAAGAAAGGAAGGAAGGAAATGGAGAGACATGGTCTCTTGCAAGCAAGGCTGATCTTGAACTTCTCAAGCCTTGGCCGCCTGATCCTCTTATCTCTACCTCCCTCTTGGGCTTACCTGCGTGAGCCACCATGACAGGTTTGACCAAAATGTTTCTGCTGTTTAATGAGCCTTCATTGGGCTCAGTGGATCACTCTCCCACTCACTGTCAATTCTCTTTATTTTATCTTTCTTTCCTTTTTTAAAATCTCATTTTGGTGTGCGTGTGTGTGTGTGTGTGTGTGTGTGTGTGTGTGTGTGTGTATGTGTGTGTGGTGTGCCAGTGTGTGTGACTATGAGGGCATGTGTGGCGGCCAGAGGTTGGCATCAGGAGTCCTCCTATTGATCTTTGTCTTATTTTCTGAGACAGTGCCTCTCACTGTATCTGCAGCGCCTCACTTTTGGTTAGATAGATAACTGTGAAGGCCCTGAAATCTTCTGTCTCCACCCTCACCCCTGAGGTTACATACAAGATCTTTTTTGTGGGTGGAAGGATCAGAACTCAAGTCCTCACGCTAGGTAGCAAGTGCTATCTCCACTGAACCATCTCTCCAGCCTCCTTGTTCAATTTTATTTGTTTAGTTTTTGAGACAAGGTCTCTCTACCTCTTCTCGACTGTCCTGGAATTCACTATGTAAAGTATGCTGGCCTTAGACTCACAAAGATCTGCCTGCCCCTGCCTAGCAAATGCTGAGGTTAAGGGCTTGCACCACCAAGCCTTTAAATTTTATTTTTTGTTATGTATTTGTTTGTTTTTTCGAGGCAGGGTTTCTCTGTGTAATCCTGGATGTCCTGGAACTCACTTTATAGACCAGGCTGACCTCGAACTCACAGAGATCCACCTGCCTCTGCCTCTACCTCCTGAGTGTTGGGGTTAAAGGTGTGCACCACCACTGCCCAGCAAATTTTTATTTCAATGGATAAATAACATTATACATTCATGGGTCATAATACCCTGTTTGATTAAACACTTATGATGTGGAATTATTAATTCAGGCTAACAAAAAATATCTGTTCTCTCATATGCTTGTTTTTATTTTGTTTTCTTTGTTTGAGTTACTATGAATCCCTGGCTAGCCTAGAATTCACTATGTAGCTGGAGGCTGACCTTGAACTCAGAGATCTACCTGCCTCTACTTACTGGCTTGTCTTTTAATTATTTGTGGTTATTAGACTAGACTCTTTTTTTTTTTAAGTGTTCTGTCTGCATGAATCCCTGAAGCCCAGAAGAGGGCACCAGATGTCATTACAGATGGTTGTGAGCTACCATGTGGTTGCTGGGAATTGGACTCAGGACCTCTGGAAGACCAGCTAGTGTTCCTAACCACTGAGCCATCTCTCCAGCCCCTAAACTAGACTCTTAAGGGATGCCAGAATTGTCTTTGAAGAGTCATTCAAATATAAGAATCAAGAAGTAGAGAGTGTCAGGTAACTCTCAGATAACCCTGAAGCAGGGGTTCAATCAAGCCTGTCTCCATTTGCCAGCCAAGTCCATAGCAGCCTCTGCCCACAGGGGGCGCTAGAGCTGGCCAGGCTGGAGGAGGAAGGGAAGCCTCTATACTGTTAGCTGGCTCGCCTGTTGTGTCAGCAGCAGCCC